CGGTAAAGCACGTCACTGTAGCTGCTGTTAGAAGTCCCGGTTGCTATAGAAACGGTCAGCGCTCTGAGACGTGCGCTCAGGACTGTGCATGCACACTGGCTGGTCTAGCCTGAGAAATAAGCTTTTTATAACGCTATTTGAGCAAAATAAACATTTATGACACAGTTGTCAGATTTCATTTGTGATTTCAAATATAAAATTTAATAGTAAGCTTAGTGAACAGTTTTGGAGAATTTGATGTTTCCCCATTCAAAGTGATGGGAGCTGCACTTGCATGCCCGAGAGGCATTTTAAAGATGGCCGCCGAGTGACATGACTTGCCTTAAAGGGACTTTGGTTGTATTTACAACACTGTTCCAGAACACTTCAACCCAAATAATCAGATGTGTGCAGCACATTTTATGGAGGACTGTTTACTGATCCTAGTAGAGTAGACTACAATGCCGGCTGTTCTGACTCACAGACTGTAAGTTCACACGCTTGAGGTATTCGGCCAATCACAACGCACTGGATAGCTGGCCAATCAGAGCACACCTCGCTTTTCAGACCGATGAGCTTTGTAAAAATCGACGCGTTTCAGAAAGGCGGGGCATAGAGGAGAAAAAATAATGTACAGTATGTGGAAAATAGTGTGTTTTTACCTTAAACCGCATAAACACATTTCATTACACCAAATATACAAAATAATGTTATTTTTTAGCAACATCATATGACCCCTTTATTGACACTTGACAAGACTTGTTAAAGCGATGTGAGTGAAATAAGATATTTATTCAGAAAAATGTGGGGCGAGACTTAGCAGTTCGGAGTTGATTTGGTCATAAGCGGGTGTTACATTAAAAATTTGTATTAGTACATCCATTAAAAATTTAATTATTCAAATTGTATCATTCTGAAGAGAAATTAGAACATTAGCATTATATTATAAAGTGGTAACATAACTTTTGTGTTTGTTCTTTGTTCAGGTAGCATCCAAAGCAAACTCCCGAAGTCCGTCCAGTCCTAGAAAAACATGGCCCTCAGAGTGACACATGAAGAACAACATTGATATAAAAACAAGACTAACTAACTTTACTGGACGACTAACAATGTCTTTGTTACAAGTTTATATATATATATATATTTATATTGTATTCACTGATTATTCATTTTTATGCACATATTTAATGCACAATACTGCAAAAGTACTATGTAAAATACTATGTAAACATATTAATGTAGGTAAGACCAATGATTTTATTTACTTTTCCTGTGTATCTACTATAGTAAATTTCTTGTACTACCATGATGTCAGAGTTTAAAATAAGGAAATAAGGTATTTGGGATAACGGCAGCTTAGCTGTAATGTTATTGTGATCACATGGTTCACAAGCTGAACATTTGTTTTGGTTAGTGGTCAGAATGAGAATGAAATATTGCAGCAGATTAGAGTGAATAAGTCACATTCGCTTGAGAAGCTCAACCCCTCAATAATTATTAAACACACACATTGAGGCTTTATAACACAGGCAACCTGTGACGGCCATAATTATGTGCGGTTTGAAAAAGGGCAGCAACAAACACCTAGATGAACTCCACCCTTGTTTTCTACCACAGTGATTAAGTTGGCTTGAGAAAGTAACTAGTAACTTGCTAATCATGCTTGCAACATGCTAGAAACATGCTAACGACATGCTAGTAACTTGCTAATCATGCTAGAAATATGCTAACGACATGCTAGTAACTTGCTAATCATGCTAGGAACATGCTAGTTACTTGCTAATAATGCCAACAACATGCTAATCATGCTGGAAACACGTTAGCAACATGCTAGTAACTTGCTAATCATGCTAGCAATATGCTAGTTTACTATTTCTAATCTATTTATCTATCTATCTGTTTATTTATGCATCTGTCTATTTAACTATCTATTTTTCTGATAGATTGTATTGCCTTCAAAACTTTAAAACTGCTTCAAATTAGTTAAAACTGAAAACCCTCAAACTTTAAGCTTTTAAAACTACTTCAAACTTTCTGGCTAGGCTTTTTCAAACCAACTTAAAGTTTGTCTACAAACTTTACTATCTAGTTTATTTTTGTCCTCTGATCTAACTGGATAAAACTCAGCCATTACATATATAGTCTGCATTGTCTGGATCAGATGTGGCCCTTTAGCGGAGCGTCTTGCGATCTGTTCTTTGAACTGAAAGGACATTGCCTGACTTTGGAAAAGAGAAACATTTGGCTTCTAGACATCTTGACCGATCACAGAAAGATTACAGAATTGAACTTAAGAACTGAAACGGAATGAAATCAGGAATGGCCCAAAACATATCTGGATAAATCAAAGCACTTTACACAAATTAAGAAACCAGGTGTTGAGTTAAATAGCTGTAAAAGTCTTAAACTAGAATGTTTACTGTAGATTTCAAATACAGACAATCTTTATTTTGTCCAAAGATGCTGCAGCAGCTCTGCAAACAGGCTAAGGAGTGTTATAGCTGTCCTTTAGTTGCTTATCTAAACATATTTTGACTATTCAATTGTATTATTATTATTATAATTCTTTTTTTTTTTTTTACCAGGCCCCAAGTATGATTTTGTATGTTTGGTCTGTCAGTATTTTTGGTTTATTGTCCGTTTTACTTGTTATCTGTGATTTGTTTAAATGATTGTATCATGCGGTGCAGCTTCTGCTTTTTCAACTAGCATTTTTTTTTTATATACAATTAAAGGAAAAAGGTATAATGTCAGTTATTCATTAAGAAAATTCACCTATACACTACAATAGTGGATTTTATTAAGTTCTTAGCAATGCATATTACTAATCAAAAAATATATTTACAGTAGGAAATTTACAAAATATCTTCATGGAACATGATCTTTACTTAATGTCCTAATGATTTTTGGCATAAAAGAAAAATCGATAATTTTGACCCATACAATGTATTTTTGGCTACTGCTAAAAATATGCCCCAGCGACTTAAGACTTTTTTGTGGTCCAGGGTCACATATGAAATCATAATAAAAAAAAATCTTTGAATAATTTTTTCTTTGAAACTGAACCTTTCAGTTTATCAATATTTGCATGTGTTTAAGTATAATATTTGATGCATCAAGCTATTATGGCTCATGTAGTATGATAAAGGCAAGATGAAGCTCACACTTTAGGCAAAAATAAAACTGCTTTATTCAGAGGCCCGAACTGAGCTAAAATATGCAATTTGGTGCAGTTAGTGATATTAATATGGACAAAAAGAAAGATGAAATTCTGATTGTTTGTAATAGCAAATAAACACATTCTTTATAACAGTACAAAAATATTGAAATACTACAATATAAAATATTGTCACTATTTTAAGGTTCAATTCTCACTATTAACTATGACTTTTGTCTTAATAAACTCCTAATTATTGTTTATTAATAGATAGTAAGGTAGCTGTATGGGATAGGATTAAGGCATCTAAAATATGGTCATGCAGAATTAGGTATTAACATGTGCTTTATAAACAGCCAATGCTAATATGCATGTTAATAAACAACTAGTTAAAGGCACAATATGTAATTTTCGCCGCTAGAGGGCGCATATTCAAAATAAACAAATAGGCAAAGGCGTAGTTTGATGAAGCCGTGACTGAGTGTGGAATCATGGGAGTTGTGGTCTTCACAGCCGATGCAATCTGACGGGACTCGGGCAGAAATCATGTTCATGGATGAGCTAATGATTTATTAGCGTAGTAGAATGAAGCAGGGTGAGGCTGAAAGCCGTCGAAGCGAAACGAGGCCACTGAACGAGCGCGACACACAGCTGGAAAGCAGTGGAGCTTTTATTATGCCACAGTTGACCGCTTCCGCTGCTTCCGGTCGTGCGTATGTGGGGTAAAGCAGCGCTGTTTTATCATACTAGATACATTTGAAAATTATGTTATAATGCTACTCTGTGCGGTCGTCACCGGTCTATTAAAACGCACAACATATTAAAGCGTCTTTGGTGTTTCCATGTTTTCTACAAAACAAAACCGGAAATCGAGGGGTTATGACGTCATTGGCAGGCGACACAATGACACGCTCCGTGTAACTAGTTAAAATTGCTTATTTCTCTGGATTTAAACATTCTTCGAAACATTTGGGATAATGTAAGTACACAAGTCAGCAAAATATATAACACTGTTCTAGTGGTTTTTGGATATTTTAATAAAAAAATCTTACATATTGTGCCTTTAATGCCAAATTTACTCTTATGTTTACTTAAAATCAGTAAACATTTCACGACCTGATGGATCTGATTGCCTTTTACTTGCTACAAAGTATAAACTATCAATCTGAGGGCAGAACGCATGTAATTCAATTCTGCAACAGGTTTTTCATCAAAGTTTTGAACATGTTGATAATTTAGAGGCCTTAGAAATTTGCAAACCACCTGCCGATTTTTCCTGCTTCCAACACATGAAATTCAAGAACTGACTGTTCACTTGCTGCCTAATATATCCCATCCCCAACAACACGCTCACTTCACCTGTCAGTGACCTATAACTGGGAATCAACACACATCAAGTCAATCACTAAGTTTGTGGATGACAACACTGAGGAGGGACCGATTCATAACAGAGACAAGGTCTGCAAACTATCAGAAAGGTGTTGCGTTAACAATCTGGCGCTGACAGCTTTTGAATGGCACTGAAGCAACACTGAACTAAAGTGAGCCGAATAATGACACTTCTGTCGAAACTGAACTCTTCATAATTGATTACAACACTAAGTATTTTCCTGTTTATCAATGTGAGGTGATGCAATGCTTTGAATCCGAACTGCATAAAGCACTATATAAATAAATGTGATATAACTCACCGTTCACGCTCCAATCAATTCCCAGTGGATAAAATATGAAATATTTTTGAGTCCCTTAGAGAAATGCATCATATTACAGAAGTAAATCAGATGGCTTATTTCATGCTGTCTTCAGTGAAACAAATATGCTACTTTGACTAAAACAGCATACATGAAAGATAAACGACCCCAACTTCATAAAAAATATGTTCCTTTAATAATACACACTTAAAATATGAACTGCAGGTAGTAGTGTGAGGTGTCCTTACGTGAGAGCCACGAGACTGCGGCTATCGCTGGAATCCATGTTGGACCGAAACACGACTGCATTCATAGAACTGAAAAAGCTTAAGTTAAATGAGCAGAGAAAGCGCGGAAAGAGCATTTCTGTACGTTACGTGTAGAAATCCAGTCTCTGTATCCTGATCAGCCACTAACTACAAATTTTTAAAAATAAAGACACGTTTGGCAACATAATCAGTGTTTCAAAGGGAGCCGGAAAGGAAACATTACCTAGATGTGGCACATGATCCAAAACTTGTTTATGAGGTTAATGAGCTACTGGGTTCTTCTCCGTTCTCGGGAGGTGTCCTTTCTGATAAAAGTGTGCCGACATGCACAAAATTACATGAGGTTTGGGGACAAGTCTGTTTCTGGCTGCTGCGAAGACACTCCTTCCAGAAAGAGTGCGAGAAAGCAAAGGCGGGTTGGGGAACCGGAGAGGGCCGTATTCACTGTCACTGCTGCTGAAGGAAGTAGAGGAGGCTGGGAAAGGAGACGCCGCTCATCAGAGGTGCTGCTGGAGGAAGTACAGTAGCATGATCTCGTAGTGCTCTCCGGACTCAGGACAGCGGATGCTGTGTCTCTCATTGGGGTAGATCTACAGAGAACGCAAATTAATTATGTGGCTGAGGGGGGAAAAAAATACTAACATTATAAGGTTATATTTTTTTTTCAAACCTGTAGCTGATATGGCTTTCCTGCACGGATGAGTTGAGACACCAGGAAGTTGGTGTGGAAAAAGTGCACGTTTTCATCAAGGAACCCATGTAAAATAAGTAATCGGTTTGGCCTTGAAGAAAAAAACAAAAAAAGCACAAAACACAAAGAAAATATTACTGATAATGCATTCTGGAAGGGGTTATTTATATTTGACTGAACTGAAGAATGTATTTTACCTCGATTTAAATTGGGGGAAAATTGAAAGGGTATCTTAACCTTATAAAGCCTACTGCATCACATTTAATATTGACACACGTCAACATCAAATTTTGTCACACAATCTACTGCATGCCTTCTGTCATCTGATTTTATAGTTTATACTCTTTTAGCAAGTAAAAGACTTTTCAGTGAAAAATAAAATGTCTGTCAGGTTGTGGTTCAGAACTCTTTTTTTTTTTGCTGTGAAGTCTTTGGTTCTTATAAAGAAAATATAATATCAAATAACTTTTATATTGTTAGTAATATTTCAAGATGAACACTTACAGGACTGAAGCAACTTGGGTTTATTTGAGCATCCATACATTATTTCTTTTTAGAAAAGTTTACAAAAGAAAATTTGAGTATTGAATATGAAACACTGATCTTTTGAGGAATGTGTATTTGCTCATCTCTGTATTTAATCATCATTGTATTGCATCCTACAATTCGAATGCAACGTTTTTGCATTCGAATGTTGATTTTTATTTAAAATTTGACGAATATTCGAAATTCAAATTTTTTTTTTGACAGCCCTAACTCTCACACGTATATTTTTTTTTACATTTTGGGAGGAGTAAAGTTTACATACATTGGCATGCGAAAGCTTGGGAACCCCTTGCAGAATCTGTGAAAATGTGAATAATTTTAACAAAATAAGAGAGATCATACAAAATGCATGTTATTTTTTATTTAGTACTG